TAATTTTGCGCTAAGGAAAGGTCTTATTCACATTCAATATATAAATTATGATTGAAAGGATTTTATACATGAAGAAAAAAATTGAATAACACTTGAATAATAATTTTCAGAGTTCGAAGAACTCAAGTCATATTTACCTCAGTACAAAGTTATGAAATACGTGCCATCTAATTATGTGATAAATAAATTTAAAGATGGCGGAGTCGCCATTATTGATCAAATAATATGTTCGTATGCCAGGTAAGAATATTTATATGATGATAGATTGTAAATAGGATACTAAGCGCAGGATATACTCTTTCAATAAATTTTTATGAATCCTTGTAATACATAGCTTAAAAAATACAGGAATCTCAGGTAGCCTTTTTTTTATCAGATATTTCATAGGAACACGTGGATCAACGTTTACATTCAGAATACAAGAAGACAGGGAGATTATTGGTTTTCCATCACATTCTACGTTTAATGAATTATGTAAGTCTAATAATAGCGATTGCGCAATAGATGGATTCTGGTCGATTGTTTGGTGATATTCTGCTTTAGTAACGCAGAATCTTTAGTTTGTAAAAGTTCCTTATGACTATTATTCATCTCTTTTCTTATCAATTCCAATTTTATTTGATGAATTATTTAAGTAATAACTTGGATAAGTTATAAATATTAAAGTATGAAATATTTCTCTTTGTAAACTTTTTTTATTCTTAGAAAAAAGCCTAAATATACTTCAAGTTAATAAACTTTATCATACATTATTTAAATCCATAATTGTAAACGTTTTGCGTACACGCTTACAAATGCATGCATACAGACGTGATGTATAATGCGACATTTGTTTTCGACATCGGGAAAATATATATTTTGTAACTATTTTAAACTAACCGCAGTAAATTCACCATATTAATAAATTTCTAAATATACGCTGTTCTACATTAAATTTTGTCTACGTTAAATAATTATTTTATAAAAAAGTAAAAAGATGAAACTATGTTATATATAACATATAAATATATTATGGAATAATATATTTATATGTTACATAATATATTTATACATAAATTTTACATTTTGAAATGTTCCCTAATATATAAATATATTATGGAGTGATGCATAATATATATTTATATTAGTTAACATTAATATAATATATAATTATATTATCTAGTCTTAATATATTATCTAGTAGTATATAATTATTATATTATATAATATTAATAATATTGATATTCAATTATTTAAGTATGGTTGTAAGTTATGGTTGATCAGAAGTAAATGGTTATCGCAAATTTTTTAATTCACCACCTCAGCAACTTCGAGAGAATCGCTACGTCGCGTCGCTCTTCGATAAATCGAATCGGTGTACAAACACGTTCATCGTGTACCGCGATTCGCGTGATTCGTATCGTCTAAAAATGAGCTCTCACCCGAAAGATTATTGCGAGTGTCCCAGAGCGAAACGTCGACCGTTCGCGAATATTAATGTGTCGAACGTTGCGCGCGATCGCTGACTGCATGTCGATATCGTGATGACAACGTTATAACGACGATCCGCCTGTGGGCCGCTCGAGGAGTCCGTTCGAAACGACTGTCCCGGTGCGACGCCTCATGTTCTCCTCTTCGCCGAAACGCAGCGGGAGCTAGTTTCTCGCCGGGTACGTATTACGCATGTATGAAAAATTAAAAATTGAACTGCCGATTGAAACAAATTTTATTTCGGGAATCTAAGTCGTCGCCAATAACGTCAATTCAATGTGCGTATTATAATCGTAGACTTATTAAGACGGACCGCGCGTTTCCGTTGAATGAGGACCGCAGCCTCCAGTAAAAGAGTATAATAGTCAAATATTTTCTCTAGCATGCAATTGATTAGAGGGAGACGTAAGGAAAAGGGAAGGGATTCTCCTATTTGAAGGAATGAAGAAGCACCGCAGTCGCTTTCTTTGCTCTTGTTAGAAGTACGATTAGAAACGCGAGCCTTATTTTCATTCGTATCTTATCTGCATCTATCATTGCATCAACGGCATCGCGCGCGCGCGAGAGAGAGTATCTGACTATTATATCGAGATCTCTATTCTTCAGTATTGTCGTATGCGAATGTGCAATCTGTCTGCATAAGTCTACGATTACGATACTCCATACGATAGCATTTGTGCAGTTGTATGTCCTAAGCTTAAAATAATACATTATATAGGTTATGTCGCATTACATATTTATGTATTGCGTAGTAATAACAGTACCGGGTTAATATCTTTATTTGGAACAATTTTACCGTAGTAAACTGTATCATTCAATACAGCACGTTGTTACTCCCTCCGTGTGTCTCCCGTGATAAATATGTACATAAATATTTACACACACACACACACACACACACACACACATATATCACTTTGATATTTTAATGTATCAAAATCTATAATTACGATACTCTCTATACAATAGTATTTGTACAGTTATACGTCCTAGGCTTAAAATGCATTATACGTTTTGTCGCATTATATATTTATATATTTTGTATTAATAATAATACTGAATTAATACCTTTACACACACACACACACGGAATATCTGAACAATTTTAACGTAGTTTAACTTATCATTTCAATACAATATATTGTACTTCTTTGTATCCCGTGATAAATATATATGTATGTATACACATACATATATAACTTTGATATCTATATATATACATCGTAGTATATTCCCTTTAATTATATATTCCCTTTGTGTGTCCCATCATATATATAAACATTTATATATAATTTATCTAAATTCCTGTAAGAGTACGTATTTGTACAACGTCGAAAGAGCCGAAATTAACAGTATATAAAAAATGTTTATTTCTTAAATGTATGAAACAGCGATTTTTCACATAACTGTTTCCACCATGGAAATCCTTTTTTTCTCTGCAACATACAAACCCGTGGCACTCACTGCATTCATAGAAATCTTGAGTTATGTTTAAACTGCGAGATGTTGATTTTCTTATATTGTGTCTCAGAGACGTCAGGGTTTGCAAAATGTTTAATTGTCCAATTTTCTAATTTCTTAAAATATCTACGTACTGTAGGTATTAGATTGGACATATAGTTAAAAATGATGATTTATAAATTTCAGTTTTCTGGCAGAGCTTAGATTTATTGGATTTGTGATCTGATGAATCATTTCCCTTTTTTTCTTTTGATCTGAATCTTCTTTTTTCGATTTGTTTTTACGCTTGGATAACACATGTACTGATAATTTAGCGTTTTTATCAGAAACATTTTCGTACAAAATTACATATATGTAAGAAAACGTAAACAATAATATTGATATAAGTAAATATATACAATATATATATATAT